CCGAGGCCGTGGGCCAGTCAATGCATTCACTGCATCCCGAATTTAGCATTGACCTGTCAACTCCAATCTGGCTCCTTTCTTTGTTCTGGGTCTCTGTATCGATTTTTGGCCACATGAACTGGTGGTGCTGAATGCTTCCAATCTCGACAATCTATCTCCAACAGAGTCGACTCGGGATGCACTCTTCACTGGCCAGACCAGCCCTGGAGATAGAGATATAAAGGCCCCTCGAATCCTCCAGATCACTCCTTCTTCTCCTCATCAACCACTCTCATCTACAAACAACCAAATCTTCTATCCAAACCAATCTTCCTTCCAGGAAACCCAATCAATCAACATGTCTCCCTCCGTCAAGAACACCGCTATTGTCAAGGGTATGCCTACTCCCAATCATCTCCTTTCTATCAAATAGACAAAAAAAACTAACATACCAAAGCTTCCCCCGGCGGCGGCTGCGTTATCATGTAAACGCACCCCAATAACCCTCCCCCGAGCAAGAATTCCACTACCACACCAACCAACTCGTTAACTGTCACGCTTCAAGACCAAACATGGCCAACTCGGCTTACTTCTCGCGTTTCGTTCTACCCTACTCTTGACACTCGTCAGGGGCCTCTCAACCCATGCTCAGAAAATCCACAAAAAAAAATCTCGAACCCTTGGGAGGAAGACCAACGGGCCCGTTGGACAGGGGATGACTGGTTGTTTGTGTACCTACCTCTTTCTTCGCTATCCTGTTCGCATCCGCTCCTTATGTGGTCTTGTCGTCGTCTTGGTTGCTGGGAATTCTTAGTCATGTCACGATGGGATAGTTTGAATTTTCATACATACTTTGGGATTTCAATACTTCTTCACTTTCCACTGTAGGATTAGATTGTAGAGCTGTATACTCTGTATGTAAATATGGTAAGGTACGTTAGTAGTGATACAGTGATACCATGGTTCTAAGTTTAGTCTAGCTTGTTACTGGCCGCGTTGTGCATGTTCATCCCCCGGTTTCTGTCATGATACCCGTCCAGGGATTGTTTGCGTTACCTTGGTCCCTGGATCTTGGGGTTGTCCACTTTTATATCGAGATATTATGAGGTGGGAGATCTGTTTCCGCCCGTTGTTCTTTCGTTGGCAAGGATATGTTTTCCGGATATTTTGATTGGGAAGTCTGGTGGAATAATATGTATGTATGTAGCCAGGATGTTCACTATAGAATGGTCTTTGATCACCACATTTTTCTTTTTTTTTTTTTTTTACTTTTTTTTTTTCTTGTAGGAGAAAGATCTAGTCACAGTTGTCGGTTGTTTGAGGCCGTAAGAGGGATGCTGTTTTCTGTGAGGGGTGGAGGATAGATGATGGTTCATATATAGATTGCGACTTGCAGTGAGCCCGGCTTAGTATTGTTAAATGGTGGCCACGCTACTAACATTAGCTTATGGTTCAATACGGTTGAGTGTTTTAATAAATATCTTGATGTGATATACATTTACACAGGTTTTATTTGAGGTTCTGGCAACAGCTTCTGTAAAAGATGTTTGAAAAAAGGCTTGTCTTGGTTTGTAGTCACGAGTTCATCTGTATCCTGGTCATGTATTTACAGCAGAGACAAGGGACGAAATCAAAAATATCATATGCAAGTATGCCGTCTATTTACGGAGCAGTCTCCTTTCGGATCTTGTCAACCCTCGCCACGTCATCCATGCTTGGCTCCTGGAGCTCGTCATCGGCGCCAACGAACGCATCACTCACGGCATTCTCCACCTGTTCTACAGCATGGGAGACGAGGCCCACGGACCGAGCCATGCCTACCTGGCACATGTTCTCGCCGACGGCAGATTCGATCTTTCCATCGCCGCCGTTCTGGGTGAGGTCACTCTCGAAGGCGTGGAGGAGAGACTTGAGAGGCTCCAGGAAGCGGTTGCGGAAGTAGATGTAGGTTTTTTCGAGTTGGAGTTGAGCACACAGGGTAGAGGATGAAAGGAGAATGTAGTAGAGGCTGAGGGCGGCGTGGATGGAAGGTGTGAGGGTTTGAGAGAACTTGATCCATGATGCTACGATGTCGGACGAGACATTGAGGAGTAGCTCGGAGGAGTTAAAGAGTAAGGGGAAGAGGACGGAGAAGTAATGTGGGTTGATAAATGTGTCGGACTCCGGTGAGCTGGAGAGCTTTTTGTTGGCGTCAAGAATTTCATCTTTCAGCCACCCTATAGCACTGTCCCTGATCAGTTGGAAACGATCATCCTCAAGAACCTGACGGATCGTCTTGAAGCGGACAATGTGAGACGGGTGGCTATGGAGAATGGTTCCAGGGATCCGCCTAATGGAGTTGTAACTTTGTCGCGTTGTGCAAGCAGTTAGAGACAAGATGAAGCGTCGGAACTCTATTTCGTTGGATGGCTCTCCGACTGAGCGTTGCATAGAAAAGACGGTCAGTGTCAGAAGAGAGTCCAATAGTGCCTGAGGTTGCCCAAAGGCAATTTCGTCCGGCTTATCGTGCCCACCAACAAAGTTGTCAAATATCTGAGCCAGCTCAGGGAAGACGGCAATCGGAGTGACCTGGCCCGACGAGAATAGTTCGGCCATCGCAGCTCGGGCAGCCAAAAGAAGTAGAGCACCGTGCCTTTCAAGCGGAATCTCTTCCACGTTCCTAGGTGGTTCATCGAAGTCCAGTGGCTGGGGATGTTTGTCCGGCGGCTGCGAGACGACTGCGAGAAGCTGCGTGTCGTCCAGCCCGAAGTCTCGAGAAAGAGCCTACAAAGTCAGACACTGCATCCATTGGCACATAGAGTGGACCTACCGTTATTTTCCCCAAAATCATGTCCCTCTCCCGTAGGTCTTTGTTATTGGCAAATACTTCCGTCTCTGACACTTGGCCCGCCAGATGCCTTGGCTGGAGTTTCTCTTGCAAACGAACTGTCCAAGACATTCCTGGATCCATAGGCCCCGAAAAACTCAGTATGTAGGATTTTATCAGCTCAATCAGACCGAATTGCAGGAATCTCTTGATGAGCGCCGGCTCGTTGTTACTCGGGTTCGGCGATTGGACCTCTGCTTCTGGGTCCGGCGCAGAAGCTTCGGACACTCGCAGTATGCTGGACTCGCTTGCAGCACGGGGTGGTGGTGCAGGCCGCTTGGAGGGAGACACGTCTCTGAAAAACTCCAGAAGGGCAATGGTTGTCTCGTTCGTCGGCATCAGAGTATACGCTTCCAGTACAGCTTGTAGAGAGGTTGCGAAAAAGCGGCTCGGGGATTTCGTCTGGATGCGGGAATGAAGAACGGATAGCATGGCAACAAGAGAATTGAACTTGATGACATGTCGTGGGAGGGTATTCTGTATATTCGACTTCGCGGCATCTCTTTCGGTCGCATCTTTTTGTTCCGCATCGGCGAATTCTGTATCATCAGTAGCAGAGGGCTCTGCTGTCTCGTTCTCTTCATCCTCGTCTTCGTCCTCGTCCTCAGGTTGCAGTTGCATCAGGGCTTCGGACACCCTCAGGATGACCTCTCGAGGATTACCCAAGCGGGCGATATCCTGAAGACACTCGATTGACTGAGGAAGCATGGGCAACAGAAGCTGAACCAGATCCCAGCCAATATTGGTTGTCAGGACCTCATCCTGCAAGAGCTTGTGGAGAATGGGCAAGCGAGTGGGGGTCAATTGGTACTCCAACAAGGTCAGGTAAGTGAGGTAGTCAGTGGCCGGAGGCAAGGCCTGGATGATAGGGTCTTCTTCCTCGGCCATGATAGTTGAAATAGCACCAATGCAATGCGATAGTGGGATGTGGAGGGAGGGAGGAAGAATAGGACTCAGGAGTCTAGATCGACCGGAGTGAGTGCGTAAGCGCGGGACAGTTTGATACACAGATTATGCACGGACCATATGATGTCATCCCTTCCCCTGACAACGAAGATTTGATATGGGAAGAGAACGAACTCAACTTATCGATAAGAAAACAAACGGTGGGAGATGATAGGGCATTTTCAAGTCCTTAGGTACCTACCTGTGGCATCATATTATTATTCATCACGTTACTCCGTCCAAACCTGGTATAATGCGTTTGTTGAAGAAATGGATTTGATATATATATATTGTGTCTAGAAGGATCGCCCAGCAAGTATAAGAAAATTTTTAAGAACAACGAAAGTACTAATATCCTCTCCCCCGGGCGAAATAAGAGCAATGTGCATGCGCCATAGAGAACCCGAGGACTGCCGTGCCATGAAGTAGACGTCGTGTCTAGGTACTACTCTAGTATAGCAGAGTTGCATCTTCTCATTTCGGATTTGGACTAGGAGACTCATCGCATCATGTGACTCTAATCACCTGACCATGAAGGGATACCAGTAATTTGGATTATTCAGGAATTAAGATTCCAGCAAATGAAGGGGGGCGGGTGGCCTATTTGAATGTCGACCAAAAGTCACTAGACTAGATGCAATAGTGCTGACGATCTCTATAAATGAGGAACCAGCCAAGGACGCATAAGAATGAACCATGGTGGTCAGGGGGACGTGCACAGTGGTTATGAATTTATGAAAGGATTCGAGGGCATAAGGGAGATCTCCCACGATCGGCCTCAGATCATTCCATTGACTAAGAATTTAAGTGTCACACAAGTGTAACCGTTAACGTTTAACAAATTCGCTTACTATTATTTTTGTGGGAACAAACAAGGCAAGTATGTAAAACTGGCAGAAGTAAGCAAGGCAAGAGGGAAAAAAAAAAAAAAAAAAAAAAAA